AAAAATTAATAAAAAAATCCAGTCGATGAGTCAAGAAAATGGCAGTTTGATTGAAGCTTGATACAGAAATAACACTATTAAGATTTACATCTCTCTATTTCAATGGATGAGCTGATCGGTGACGCCGATTCGTAATATATCGCCATTAATGACCCGGTGCTTAATATGGCGGCCTCGAGGTCTCAAAGTTACAGAAATACCTATTGTTAATTAGCTTTCCCATAAATTGATAGTTTAGTACCAGAAGTATCCCATAAAAGTTTAAAATTAGATGCGAGAATCTCTCCAAAAACCAAAACGTCAAGCATTTCTGAATTCAATTTACCACACAGATTGCAAATGCTTGAAAGTTTAAACACACCTCAATGCAAAGTGGAAATTCATGCAGTAAATTTCTACAAGCTCTTTAGCTTTGTGAAACTTAAGAAAATGGGTAAGGATTAAAATACGGTTACGTAACGGGTAAAGCGGCAAGCTGGAGTTGTTAAAGGGTTTAGTCGAAATGCAATTGCAGCACTTTTGGGGGAGCATAACTTAAATTTTTCAATCAGGTGAAAAGTTCACAGATAATGAGTTTCGGTACATCTATTAGCTTTAAGAGCTAGAATGAAAATGACCTTTTAAGGTTTAAGAACCTCAGTAAAATGTCTAACTTTCAACACGTAACAACTCTGCTTGGGAAATTCTACAACGAAAAACTTACAAAATATTTTCTTTTATGCGTATGCGAGCAATATTTACGGTATGGTCGGCAACAAGGATGCAAAATCTCCTCGTTGACTGGAAGTTTCTTTATCCAACACGTCGCCCGAAACGTTTTATTTTAGGTTGCCTGGTGACGCACAACAATGACTGATCATGATATCTGATTATAGTTTATATTATTACCTGCTAAGCCGCACGGTCAATCCAACTATTGACAGACGTAAGTTCCGCGTTGAACTTTACATCGACCTGCCTCCGAATTATCAAGAATAATTTATGGACACATGCTGTCTTCTACAAGATAATTCAATTCTAGTCAGTGCGGCTATATTGACAACTAATAGCAAAACTTATTCTGCTAAAGATCGGTCAGGTCTAAGCATTTATGTTACATTATGTTAAATGTAATGAAACGGCGCTCTAGCGGGTAGCGCGCGAAACTTTGGATTGAGACATCCGGTTTGAGTTCTTACCGGGCTGATGTACTGTGTTCAGCGAAGAAGTTGGCTCTTGCAGCATTTCTCTCTTCTCACGAGTATGAATGGGTATCGGCAAACTTTTAGAGAAATTTGAGATAATATTAGGGGAAAGGGACCTCAGATTGACTAGCGTCTCGTAAAGAAAGAGTAGCGATACTCGAAGTCGCTTCGAGCTAAAAACGGGTAACCGAAGTAAGCCCAGCAATAAGGAGTCGCTGAGTTTTTGAAAGTTAATCACTTAGTGGTTCTTTGGAAAACCATCCCATTTGGTCAACATCTATTGCGGTTTTCAGGTCTTAATAGCTCAAGAAACATACTCTTTTAATTGACACATACGATCCGACAGGGGTAGAATCATAGCTGGATATCACTGACTTTGTCCTGAAATGTTTATGAGGGCATCTTTTTATATTAGCCAAATGGCAGGACTTTAACTATGGTGTTCATATGTGTTTCATATGTTTTGCTTTGCTACATCAATAGTGACCGTGATATAAGCTTTAGACTGCCGCAAACCATAAATAACTCGGAACGTCAAATGATATAAAAAGCTCCAAATATCATAAGTTGTCTGGCACTGCCGAACGATATTGAGGAAAATTATTATGAGTATGTATGACTGGTGCTAAAACTACGGTAGATTGATATTCATGACCTAATATGGTAGTGCTATGCGTTATACGAAAGTGAAACTTAGAGATTGTGCAAAATTCCGCAAACAATTTGAACAGGAACGTAATATTCATTTACTAGTTTTTCAGATATTATTAGCTTAGTCGTTCTTGGAGTAGCGTTAACAGAACCGTTTTAGCGATAAAGGAACAAATTGGGAAAAAAAACATTAGGATACAAATTGCTTTGAATCAGTGAAATCTCTCTGAATCGTTCCGAAGTTCTAGATCAGGTTGAGCACAACTTGATCTTGTTCAACTACTATCTAATCCTCTACAGTAAAAAATTGGAGACATGTTTTAAGAACGTGGCGAGCACAGGATCAATCATCAAGCACTTTGC